AGTCCGCAGCAACTTGTCCGCAACTTTCAATTCGGGAACCACAAAAGCTAGAAAGCTGAAAATTTAGGGTAACGTTCCCACCGAAGTGTGACCCCGCAAATTTAAATTCAGCTTCCCCGTACCTGCGGGTAACAAGTACGGCCCCGTAAAAGTTTTTTACGGGTAAGTTAATATCTCTGGAACGACGGGGTCTAGGAGGCTGAAATTTTAAGGTAATGACCCCCTGCCCACGCTCAACCTTGCCCATTCAAATTCAGCGTTCCCGCGCTCTCATGTACCGCCTACGGGTTAGTGAAAATTGTGGCGCGTAAACTATTAACTCGGGAACCACGAGAGATATTCATCTTTCAAGGTTTCGAATTCAGCTTTCATGCGCTGGTACGTGAAATTTTTAACTGTTTTCCAATTATTTTTGCATAGACTTAAGTACAAAGCAGTGAAAATCGTTAATAGGCAATCGTTCGATGGGCGGAATTGCACAAAACGCATGATCGCACCGGCTAGTCTGGTGCGCGTTGCTATTTATCTGGAATGCGCCAGATCTCCCGGCCGGCCGGACCCGGACAGTTCCGCCCAGCCTTTTACTTTCATCAAGTGCTTCAAGCGCTGCAACGGAATGTTGAAGCGACTGCTGCTGCTGCTGCTGCGAAATGGAGTTGTATTGCTTTAGCTGCGAATTCCGGTGTGTGGAGAGCGCGATGGTGGGGTGATGGTGGTGCGCGCGGAACGCGACGAGGCGGAGGAGCAGTTCGAGACGGCGCAAGTGGAGCTCGAGCTTGACCAGGCCGGCTGCAACCTGCTCATCTACGACAATGGAAAGTGGTGCGGCAATCTGACCCTGCTCAGCGCTAACGCAAACGACCTCTGCTCGATCTTGCCCGCCAGCCAATTCTGCTGCCATCGCGAGACGACCAGCACATTGCCCCTGTTTGTTGAATGACAGTTTTCTGTGTCTTACAATAAGAATTTAACTGATAATATTCGCGTATGGAATAATTAGAATAAAAAGTCAGCCTATAAAAGAATGATTCGGTCCGCTAAGCCCTATGCATTGCTCCGCAGCATCTTTAAGATAATTCAGTGCCCACTTATGCGAATTCGCTTAACTAAATTTGGGTACACCCGTAACTGTCCCTCCCGCTCTCACTGGTGCACACTAAATTGAAAGTGTCAGGACTCCCGCGGAGGGGAGGGGAGAACAGCAGCAGGAGATACTGAACAGACTTTTGTACAGTAAAACAGCTGCTACTTAAGCCCCTGAGGGGAACGAAAGGTGGTCCCCCGGGATCCGCCAATGCACATGGTTGATTGATTTGCGCCTGGACTCCTTTGTTTTCCGGGTGATGTCGCTTATGCTTTTTTCCAGAATTTTTTTTTTGCCGACAAATGCGGGTATTTTTCGCTGTTTTTTTTTTTTGTAATTATAATTTTGTGTATCTCTGCGTATGCGTGTGTTTTTTGTCCTTGAGAAAAATTTGATATTGTTACTGCTGTTTTCCATTTATTCGTGCATTTTTTCATTATAAAAAATTGAAATAAAAATTTCAATATTACGCATTCAAAATCGGTTTTCGGAAGATCGATGTTCTGTTGTCTTACTGTAACACAGTTTGTTTTTGCGCATTTTTTGGGATCCGGGTTTACAGCTTGAACTTTAAAGAAGCACTAAAACTGTGCCCAGATAGTTGCTGCTGCTACATTGTTGTGTCCCCTCGCGCTGCCCACAGTTTCTCTTCAGAATGGTCCCATAAGGGCAATCAAAGAGACTTTTCCACGGTTTCGTCGGCCTCCGCCTTGTATTTCTTTGGAGAGTCCGTGCGCGGCGTCTAGGCGCGTGTGGGGAAAGATCTTAAAACGGGAGGGCGACACACGGGTTAGGAACACACCGAAAATTTCAGCCTCCCAGCTTCCCTAGTTGCTTCTTAGTCCCATTTACCGCTTGTGAATTTAACCGCACCACCCTTGGCTTGAACTCCTCCGATGATATCGAACTGCAGCCGAATACACTTCATCACCTTTCACCGTGCGGCATTTCGTCGATCGGATTTTTCTCTCGAACAGTGCGTTGTGGTGCTGTCATGTTTTACCCGGAACAGAGCTTGTAGCACGGTGGAACTGGGAAGTTTC